GTGCATGCCCATGCACATACTGTGGCGCACATATTGAGATCAGAAGAAACTTATAGGAGTTGGTTCTCCTACCATGTGGGTTACAAGTATCCAACTCAGGCCATCAGCCTTGGCAGCAAGTTTCTTTACCCACTGAACCATCTCACCAGCCCTGGTAACCTGCCTTCTTTTTCCTCTAAAGTGTAAGTTGATTGGAAAATGTGTCTCCAGACAAAATTGTTTTTAAGTGTTTTAAAACGAGAGTCTAGAGAGATGGCTCGGTGATTCAGAGCACTGGCTGCTCCGGCAAAGGACCTGAGTTCAGTTCCCAGCACCCACATCACAGGTTTGCAGCTGCCTGTAATTGTAATATAACTGCGGCGATCCAACACCCTCTTCCAGCTCTGGCAACTACATGCACATCTGTATTCACTCACAGACACGCATACACACTCAGAGAAATAAAAAGGACATTTTTAAACATATATGTAATAGGGCCTGGAGAGAGAGCTCCGTGGTTAAGAACGCTGGTTGCTCTCTTAAAACATCTATATTCAGTTACCAGCACCTGCATGCTGGCTGTTTATAATTCCAGTTCCAAGGAATCTAGCACACTCTTCTGACCTCAGTGCGGACCAGACACACACACGGTGCACAAACTTCCTTGTAGGCAAAACACTCATGCACATAAATTAAAAATAAATAAATCTTTTAAAAAATGTAAAGTCTGGGCATAGTGGCACACACCGTCAGTCCCAGCACTGGAGAGGCAGAGGCAGGCAGATCTCTGTGAGTTTAAGGTCAGGCAGAATGACATGGTGAAACCCTGTCTCAAAAGAAATTAAAAGTATATAAATAATAAAACCCCTTTCTATATATTTAAAAGTGAAACCTTCCATTTTAAAATTTGATATGCACTAGTTATGGTGGCACACACCTGTGATCGCGACACTGAGGAGACTGGGGGGGGGGTGTCATAAAAGGCCATCCTGGGCTACATGGCTAGACCTGGACTCCAGAAAACAGTGAAAATACGTAACCTGATTCTTTCCACTTGTCTGTGCTGCAGGAAAGTACACTTAACTCCCCATTTTCTGAGAACACACAGCGTGTGTTTATAATAGCACTTCTCTCCGCCATTGATGGACTTCCCTGCATGGGAGACTGAGCGCCAGGGATAACGGTAGTTCCCGTGGCAGAACCCTGCTGTGTGCTCAGGGCCTGTGGGAAGTGTTGTGGCAGGAGTCTGTCGTGACCGCTCTCTCGGCCTTGTTCCACTTAGTGGCTGTGCTGTGAGGGCAGCCTGAGCCGCTCTAGGCCGTGTGCTGGTCAGCCACAGCAGCACTCACTACCCTTTGGGGGGACGTTTGGCAGTGTGTAATAACTGGAATTGTCTTCAGGTTACTTGTTTGTATGTTTGTGTACGTGGCTGAAATACATAAAGATTGTGTTCTGCTGAATAATTATATAAACTGCCTATTTCTGCAGACACTTCCTCTTCAGAGACCATAGAAGACATGAGTGAGATACAGGTCCCAGAAGGCTTCCGGCCTGATTTTCATCCTGAGTGAGTATAAGACAGTCTTCCCTTTAAATCTAGCCCATTGGAAAAGTGGGCTGTTGGTGGAGTGTGCCTCGGCGGGCCTGAGAGGGAAGTATTACCAGTGTTCATCTTGAGTTCTGAAGGTCATGTGCTGTATGATGTTAATTGTAGTAGACTAGCAAAACTGTAATAAGTGGGTCCCAACACCCTTGGGGCTCAAATGACTTTTTTTTTTTAAATATTTATTATGTGTACAGTGTTCTGTCTGCATGTCCCTGCAGGCCAGAAGAGGGCACCAGATCTCTTCACAGATGGCTGTGAGCCACCATGTGGTTGCTGGGAATTGAACTCAGGACCTCTGGAAGAGCAGCCAGTGTGCTTAACCACTGAGCCATCTCTCCAGCCCCTCAAATGATTCTTTCACAGAGGATGAATATCAGATATTCCGTGTATCAGATATTTACATTACAATTCGTAACAGTAGCAAAATTACAGTTATGAAGTAGCAAGGAAATCATTGTATGAAGGGGTCAGCAGCACCACATGAGGAACTGAATTAAAGGTCGCTGCGTTAGGGAGGGTGAGCACCACTGTGGAGAGGTTGCTCCCTGTTGAGCGCCTGTGTCCTGATCCCCGACACACCATCCCGACATCTAAATCCAGGCCACTCAGCTTCCAGCCCACCAGGTCTCAGGCTTCTTTCTGATTGCCACTTTCCCTTAGACCCCCAAACTCTGGTTACCCAGGTTCCTTGGTCCCACTGTGCATTGTCTGTGAGGGAGCAGACTCCTTGACCTCTGTGGGCCTCCTTCATCTGTAATGGGAAAGACTTCTTTTGGAGTCTGTGCCTCTCATGTGCAGAGGGACCAGTAAACAGACCTGGAAGGTCTAATGTGGAGAAGGCCTCAGGCCTCTGCTTGCTCTGCTTCCCCCGGGCCTGCTGTTTGGTCTTTTCTGAGACATATGTCCATACCCTCCATATTTTCCTTTTGCTCTTTCTGTGGCCCTATGCTGGATTTTGAACTCAACAGTACCTTATTGTCAGATAAGGTCATTTGGGGAGGGCGTGTTAAATCAGTGTCAGCTTTTGCATTGTGTGTTCTGAGTAATCCTGTGTGCTGACAGGACTCCATCCTGTAGCGGGTGCTCTCTCCTGGAGTACCCAGCTCCTCGTCTTTCTAAGCTTGCTTCTCTATAAAGTGTGGTTGTTCCTGGGTGGGCCGGTGGTTCGGACCCAGGCCTGGCACTTGCTTTCCCACGCCCAGACCTGTCAGCTATCCTCTGTCCCGGAGGCCTTGCTCCAGCACACAGCCTGTCTCCTGACAGGTCAGGACAGGGCACAGCTGTCCTGACAGCTGTCCTTGACTGTGTTCCTTTGGTTGGTTGGTTGGTTGGTTGGTTGGTTGGTTGGTTGGTTGGTTAGTGGTTGGTTTTTGAGACAGGATCTCACAGTGTAGCTCTAGCTGGTTCCATACTCACAGTGGCACCTCGCCTTTGGGGGTGGCCATGCACCACCAGGTGGGGTGCTGTGTATCTGTTGAGAAACAAAGGACATTCTGACTCCTGTTCCTTGCCACGTAACTAGTTTGAACTCTTGGTATCTTTTCTTGTCTGGAATGTTTGAAGTGTCCTTCTGATGTCCCTTTTATGTGTCTTCTTAGTCACTGGACAGTTTTTGTAACCCTTCCCTGCTGAGTCTCTGTGTGGTGTCTTGAGTTTCTCCCTTTGATGTGGCCCTCTGTTTGCTTAGATTGGCCTTCTTAGCCTGATCTCCTCTTAGTCTCAACAGGTATTCTGGCCTGGCTTCCTCTGCCCACTCGCCTGTCCACACTGGGAATTGAACCCAGAGCCTTGCTCACACACTCTGACTAAGCCATACCCCGTCCGGGTTTAGTTTCTTCTCACTGACTTAAGTGAATGTTTATGACACTTCCTTCCGTCTGTCTGCTTCTTGGGTAGCTATTTAACAGTGAACCATAGACACTCGGTGGGTACCTGCTGGGCAGGTCAGAGCTTGCTGAGTCTCACAGCAAGGTCAGTAGCCACCACCAGCTTTGAACCAGGGCTCCCAGATGTCGGTGTTAGCGGAGCTGTCCTCCACGGTTCTGTTCTGGAAACTCCCGCGTCGGTGGCTGTGGGGCATCGCTGAGAATCAGCCGCAAGTCCCACGCTTCAGACAGTAAATGGACCCGGTTGCCCCTTCTTCAGCCCTGAGCCCTTCTCTGCTCATGCACAGAACACAGCTCCCCTCAGTCAGGCACAGTGGCATACAGCCGTCTCTGGAGAGATGAAAGGTTTGATTGCGGCGCAGGACAGAGTGACTGAGACATGGAGCCATTTTATCCACGTGTGCAGCTTTTGAACTAAACCTATGCATGTTTACACAGGAACCCGTATTCTGACAGCATAAAAGAGATGCTAACAACATTTGGAATAGCTACGTACAAGGTGGGACTGAAGGTTAATCCCAATGACAAGGACCCCCGTGTGCCCATCATGTGCTGGGGGAGCTGCGCATACACCATCCAGAGCTTAGGTAAGACGCTCAGGGTTGTGCTTCCTTGAGTCACGGGGGCGGTGATTAGAACCCTGTTTAGAGGCCGGTTGTGGTGGCCCACTCCTTATCCTAAGGCAGAGGTAGGCAGATCTCCGGGGGTTTGAAGCCAGCCTGTTTGTACAGTGCCAGGACTTGAAAGTGAGACCCCTGCCATGAAAAAGCAAAAACAGCCAGGCAGTGGTGGTGCACGCCATTAATCCCAGCACTTGGGAGGCAGAGGCAGGTGGATCTACACAGAGAAACCTGTCTCAAAAAAAAGGGGGTGTGGGGGAGAATGAACAAGCAAACAAACAAGAACAGTGCTTAGGAGCTCCAGCCTTTTTGGGCACCAGGCACCAGTGTGGGGCACAGACAGACCTGGGGGCAAACACCCACACCCAGTCACTTTGTAATGAACCTTTAGTATGAAGAAGTAACGAAGAGAAAACAGGACCGGTTGTAAAGCAGCAGAACGCTGGTTTGTTTGACGGTGTAAATAAACACAGCAAGAGAAAACAGATTGAGGTGGTGGTGATGGGAACTCCTGGCTGAGGGACCCCTAGGGTTTTTCTTCATTTTGTGTGCATGAGTGTTTGCCTGCCTGTGTGTCTCTGTACTGTGTGTGAACCTGGTGCCTGCAGAGGCCAGAATTGGCCATCGTCCCCTGCAACTAGAGTTACAGAGAGTTGTGAGCTACCAAGTGGGTGCTAGGAACCAAACCCAGGTCCTTGGCAAGAACAGCAAGTGCCCCGGGCGGTGGTGGTGCACGCCTTTAATCCCAGCACTCGGGAGGCAGAGCCAGGCGGATCTCTGTGAGTTCAAGGCCAGCCTGGTCTACAG